AACTTAAAAACGTCTGCTGATTCCATGAAACTATGTTATGTTAAGAAATTTACCGAAGTCAGCTTTGTACCAGGAGACAAGGTGTGGTTGTATAATCCCAGGAAGACCAAAGGGAAGTCTCCTAAGTTGTCTTCTCCATGGGAAGGCCCATATGACATAGTGGATCGTCTCTCAGACGTGACTTTCCGAATAAAATGTGGTCGGCGAGGTAAACCAAAGGTGGTGCATGCCAACAGGCTTTGGCATTATCACGGTCCAGGACATTTCAGTGAACAATGGAACAGATGATGCTGCTGAAGACGTGTCACCTGAAAAAGCCACTGTCGAAGAAACTCTACCCGGTTTTGAGAAGGGAAACAGTGAAACCCTTAATGAAGTTACTACCACTGATGTAACTGTTACCGATAATAGGACATTTCCTGATGGAGCAGATGAACCCCACGTGATGCAGAAGCCAACGAGACGGAGACCAGTATGGAAGAACATATGCCCCATAAAATTAAGAGACTTTGTTGAATTTTAATTTTGTGTTTCTAAATTCTGTACCTTTAATTAAGTTATTGTTAATTATATATTGGTTAAATGTAAGTGGCTATTGTTCGGGACGAACAATACTAAGGAAGGGGCAGTGTTACAACAGCGGAATTCACGCGATGCTGGGAGCATGTGTGCTGGAGTTTCTCGAAGGATCATGAATTTGCCCGCCAGTTCGAGTGTGATCTAGATGTCCCTTTTTTTTTTAGTACATATATAAGCCTGACAGAGAAAGCCAACGGCAGATAGATAATTGAGTGAAGCGAACAGTAAACAGTAGGCACCGTAAGTAAAGTGTGTGAATCACTGTGATTTATAGAGTGTGTTATAAAGGTTGTTAAGTTTAAAGTGACTGTGGAAATTCTGTGTATTACAAAAAATTGTATCGAGAAATAATAAACTGGTTTAATCACGAAAGGACTTGTATCACTGAAGTTCCTCGGAAAGAATTTCTACCAGAAATTATCAAACAAGCAGATACGCAATAATATCAAAATTAGGATCCTTTGGAAATTAATTTCCCCAACTCTCCAAGTTACACAGAAGTCCTATGTAAACACTGAAAATTTATCAAAACGAGAGCAAATCTATTATTTAAGCACCATTTCTGTATGTAGTCTGGCCTACAGTGAATAACAATATCTGATAAAAGTCCCTAATTTTCATTCTAACAAAAACACTTATAAAACAATGATACTGCTTTAATTAGGAATAACAATAAACTAGTATGGCTTTGTAAATAAACGATAACCATATTATTAAAAAAATCAAGGGCTAATTTTAAAGGACCAGGACAAGAATTGATCCTGACCGATTGGAATACGAGTTAAATGGAAATACTTGTCCGATGCTTTAAAAAATAAGTTAAATATTCAAGATACGCGTGTTTCACATTATTGAAAATTAAAAAGAAAAAAGTGGCTTCAAGCAACACACTAAAGGTGACTCACCAAATAAAATATATAGAAAATTAAAGGTATCAAAAGTTTAAATAGTATAAGTTCACTACTAAGATAGAAAATTATAAGAATTGCAGATCAGAAGTACTGGTTAGAAAGAATATTAAAAAAATATAAAAAGGTTAGCTGAAAATATTAAAATTAATAAAAATTATTTCTTTAATAATGTTATAATGTTAAAACAGGCATTGGGCCTTTGAGTGATGTTAAAAATAGAGATTTCGGAAGATTATGGGACTGTAAAGTTGTTAACATTTTCTTTTCCTTCAGTTTTCACTGAAGAAGATGTAAACAATATTCTAAATCCCTAGAATTTACTAGTAAGAAATAAAATAGATGTACCTGCACTTAATATTAGCCCTGGCTCCTAAGCCAGATAATATTTTTCAAAGGGCGTTAAAAGAGATTAATGAATGCATAAATAAGCCCCTTAATTTTTTTTTTTAGTCTTTGAATAGTGGGCAAGATGCCAGAAGACTAGAAGGTGGCTTATGCGATACCTATTTTGAATTGAGGTGGCAAACACTGTCCAGGTAATTATAGGCGAATTAATGCTACTTCAATAATGTCAAAAGTTTCAGAGAGACCGACTACACATGCTTTGCAAAGACACTTAACAAAGTTTACAATTTTGTTGGACAACCTGAATGGTTTCACACATGAAAATATTGTCTCACAAATGTTTAGACATTCTTCGAATATGCCATTGTTTATAGTGATGGAGGTAAAGGTGTGGATTAGAGTGTACTTGGATTTTCGTAAGGCTCTCGACAACGTACTACATAAAAGACCAGTAAAGAAAATTAGTTCCGTGGGTGTGGAGGATAAATGAGCTCAGTGAATTAAGGGTTGGTTGGAGGAGAGTAAACACAGTTCAAACTGGATTAGAGTTGCAAATGAGATACTTTAGGGCTCTATACTAGGACTCTTGCTCTTTGATATACATTAACGATTTACAAAGGGATTGGATCATTTGGCAAATAAATTGTAGGTGGCATTTACGTTTACTAAGTGCAAGGAAATGCATATGGGTTACCTTAATTTAAACTACAATTACCACCTTGATGGAAATCAACTCAGTATAGTTATAGAAGAAATGGTTCTTGGTGTTTTGAATTATTAGTTTCTTAAGCCTTATAGTAAGAAACGAAATGAGATTGTGGATTGGATCTACAACACTACTGAACACAAGATAAAGGTGGTTATCGTTTCTTTGTATACATTCCTGATTAGGCCTCACATGGAGTATTGTGCTCAGTTTGTTGGTTAAAATTTGCACAAAACTACATAAGAGCTGCCTGCACTAGCCGTTCCTAATTATGAACTGCAGATGAGCTCTCGTCAGATGGAATAGTTGCACCACTATATATTTTTTTTGGGGGGGGGGGGGAGCAAAGGAATATACAAACCATGGAATCTCAGTTCTATAGTTCTGCATACTAACCACAGCCCATTGTGTTTAGTCTGGGGCTCCTTACGTTAAGAATGACAGAGTTGTAAAAAAAAAAAAATCAATGGAATACCAAGATGATTTCTGAGATAGAGGGCTGTCATACTAGGGCAAATTAACATTCTTAAAATTATTTTCTCTTTATAAAATGAGGGTTATAGAGGATCTGATTGTATGTTTAATATTATAAAGTGTATAGGTGGATTGACATATAATGTTTTTCATGTTTGATGGAGTAGCAAAGCCAAGTATGAAACTTTTGGTGGGCCCACACAATGAGTTGGTAATTAGTGTAATTTGCTGATTATTCATCAGGCTAATTAATCGATTAGCTTCAACTAATGAATTATTCTCATATGAGACTTAGATAGTTGGAATAACCAAAAATAGTAATGATCATATGCATTAATTTCAATTAGTTGATTATTTTTGTGATATTAATCAATTTAAACATAACTTTGATTAATCGATTATTCTATGTGACACTAATTGATGCAATAGATGCTCATAGGTAACAAGTTAATTGCCCAGCTTTAGTGGCTACACCAGCGATTTAATGGTAAGAATGGTAGGACTAGTGGACATTTAAGATTTTTTTTTTGGGGGGGGGGGTAGAAGTCATCTGAAAATTTGATTATTTTATTTTATTGAACAGGGTGGTCTACCTCAGGAAGAGTTCAAGAAAAAATTTAATGAATACTTAAAATTTCAAGACTGAATACAGAAAGATGAGTGTTATATGAAATGATTGAGACAGCCACAATGGGCAAAAAGACCCATTAATCTCCCTCAAATCTTCCTGCTCCTTTTCTGGACTATCTCATGGCATAAAGTTTCTAAAACAGAGATTTAACCAAGGCAGCAAGTTGCAAATATTATTACTTTCTTACTTAACTCTTTTAATGATAAAAAAGTGAGGTTCTTGGTTAATAATTTTAATCATACATACAAGTTATTTATTAATAATCCAAACATTAACTTGAAAGATGAAACTAAATATTTCTAATTCATGATATAGACTATTATGTTTTCTGTCATACTCCACAAAAAGGTTATTTTGGAATATGCCATTAATAAATAAATTAGTCTGCAAAAGTTTATGCAAGGTTAATTAATATTTTTATATTTCTTTTCTGACACAATCACTGTTTTACTTAACCAAGGTATTTATACGTTGTACCTAAGAGCACAATAACCCTTAGAGAAAACATTTTAACAATGTTATATACATTATTGTAGTTTTCTTTTCTCTCTCTCTCTATTTCAATACAATACTTAAAATGTTTAATATGTAATTCTAACACAAATTTTAATGGTTATGTTCAGTAAAGTATGATACCTGAAGAATTTCCTCTGACATTAACATGATGTATAATAACTGTTTTTACTGATGAATAAAAATAGAACTATGCAAGATGTTTTGAAATTAACTTGTGACAATAATTGGATTCTTTGCAAGTAAAGATAAACATAAAATGACATTAGAAATATATTTGTGTAACACACCATTATGACTTTATTGTTTATATGCTTGTTCAAACAGAAAAATTGTCAAGATTCAAATAACAAATCACAAAAAGAGAAATTAATCAGAGTTATTTGGCCATCATTAGTCAAATTTGATAGAGTGATCTTTTTCATGGCTTCTCCATTAGCTTAGGGTTTAAAAATAATTCACTAAAACTAACAGAATGAAAAACAATTTAATGCAAGGTTTATCAATTATTAATATCTAGTTGCTGTGAGAAAAGCACTTCAATGATGTGTATATTTTATGAAAATAATCATGACAATAGTTTGAAATTATACACATAAAACAAATTACAGAAATAATATATCAAATATAACTATCAATTTGGATGACAAATTTAATACCTAGTTTTTTGATTACTCTAGAAAAAAAAAGCATTACAAGATTATACAATCAGACAAGTAGTAGTAGTAACCTTAAGGTTATTATTAGGTTTTATAAAAGTTAAAACCAAACATTATCAGTGTTGTTTAAAGTACATGCCAAATTTATAAATAATTTGTGCATGCTTAACACTATGTACACAGTGGGGGTCAAATCGCACATATCACAACCTTTTACAGGGTGACATTCAACATGGTATTGTGTATATGATCAACTATTCATTTTACCCTACATTGCTAATTTAGTGAAAGTTTATCATAGAGGAGAGTAAGTACCATATATAATACATGGGGATACTGAAAACATTGTAAATATGCATTTTGAACGTTCTAGTGGTTGTGCAACTGCAATATACAAATTATATGATGGACATAAGTATTTTTATCCTTCATGTGAACATCACCTTGCACACTGACTTGTCAGTCAGATTGACATCAGCAATTCACACACACACATCCTGAGTACAAAAGACTTGTACCTATTACTAAAATATTGCCACATTTTTTGTAGATATATGTAGCAAACTTAGAATTATAGTCAACATTCCTTTTCCAATATGTAGTCAGTCCAATGGACCAACTCCATGAAAATATGCTTAAAAAATGCCTTGTCTGCAACTCTTTCCTTTGGTGTACAGTACAACACCTTTGGGATTATGGCTGAAAATATCCTTAACAGTGAGGATACCAAGCTAATGAATCAATGTGCTCTAACCATTATAAGTTGTTTTTTTTATGATATTGAATATTCGTAGTTAGATCATCATAATAAATATGATGTATTAATTACTGGGTTATGTTTTAGTTCTGATATATGAAAGTAGTTTGCTTTGACCAGAAATTAATGATAATAGATGTTCCAAATTTATAAAATAGTTTTTATTGAAATCTATTTCTGTTTTTTAGTTGAAGAATGTATATACTATCTGTTCGTTTGTATTCTAATTAGTCCCTCTCAATAGTTGCACATATTTTACATAGGTTGGAAAGTTATAAAAGATAGGACAGTATAGCCTATGTATGCTAGTTAATCTAGTGGATTAGTCCAGGGGCATTGCTAGCTACTAAAAATATTGGGGTTGGAGCCCCAAGAAGCAGCTACTATTCAAAATAACTAAAACATAATTGATATGTAATATATTATATTTTACATAAGAAAGATCTGAAGAACTGATAAATACATCCAGGGCACACTGTAATGCCCAAAGATTAATCTATTTCTTAATTTACCAATAAATAGGTACAGAAATGCATATTTTTCATTAAATCTAACTGCTCCACAAATTACATATTTTGAACACTTCATATGAGGTCAGTACCCACACATTAAAAAAACTGCACATCTTGATTAACATTATGTTTACTCTATTTGGTTGTTCACTGCTCATGAAACAAACATATGCCAAAGTAGTATCTAGATTCCTAAAGCACTAAGAATATTTGATACAAGACTACAGACATTGAATTTGTGGTATGACAATCACATGAATATTCATGTACTAAAGAAATATACTTATTATGTACTGAACATTTTGATTTATTTAACTTTATTTCATTTTTTTTTTTATAGAAGTTATACAGGTTGGTTGTATTTTAAAGTGACAACTGAAACAATTGTCATGGGAAAATACTGAGTGTGCATTTTAGACAATATACACTTTAGTTAGCTTCATGAACACTAAAAAGTCGAATACAATTTTCTTTGTAGTTGTAAAAATGTCTTACATGAACTTCCCTTGCATTTTTACCCAGTTATTTCCTGGTGTGTGTAAGATATATTATTTCTGACATAAAAATTATGCATTTCATTTTTACACAATTAAATATATAGTGCACAAAAATATAAATACATCTCTCCACAGAAGGGCACAGTATCATTAGACACTTTAGTAATATGACAGCATGCAATACCATGTATATCTGTATTTATAAGAATCAATTTCATATATTTAAGTCTTAGCAGTCTTTCATAAAATAATGAAAATGTAAAATAAATTTTAATAAACAGAAAATATTCTTGTTCAAATAAATAAATACCCTTAAGCTACAAACAATGTAAGGGAACAATAAGGCTAGCAGTACAGGATGAAAAAATAAACTTGTATGCAGTAAAAATACAAAAACACTTTCAGCAAACACTTAACAGCTCTTGTATATTAAACAGCAAAGTGATAACTGCATTAGCAATAATAATGCTATGCTAATTTTTATTTCACATGTTTTAACACACACACACACACACACACATATATATATATGTATGTGGATAGGTAGATATAGTTTTAACCAACAAGAATAGGAACAGATCTTTGTAAATAATAAAGATAACTTCAAATACATACATGTTTAGAACACTTTAGTAAGGCATGAATTCTCACACACTTTAAAAAGGTAATCAAGTGTACACTCTAAAACATCTTTCTCCCAGGCTGTACATATATGGCAATAACCTAAGCAAGTCTTCTTCAGAAACTTCTACACACTATACATATGTATGTTACTGTATAGCGTCACTTAGTGCCTTGTGTTATTCAAAGTAAATATATTGCAATAAGCCACCTGCATACAAACAAGAATCATTAAACTAATTCTTCTTTAGAGAAAGTGATTTATTACAAATCCAATACAGTAATATAGAAGTAAACAGTAAATAAACCTCAGTGCCAAATGTGGTTATAATGATGACTTTGAAGATTTTGAATATAAATGGGGTCTTTACAGAGTTTGTTAATTATTATTGCACTCCCATGAAAGTTTAATATGAACAAATAACTCAATAATTCTATATGCTTAATATGTAATCCAGTGGCTAATTTAGAATGGGTATTTTCTCACTAATATTTTTATGTAAACACATTCAGTAGCAAGTCTGTTTGAAAAGTTCACATTAATATTTTTGTGGGTAACAAAGTTCAGCAGCTAATTTAGATTTGAAATTTTTATGCTAGTGATTCTGTATGTAACAACATTTAGTGTCTACTCAAAATAACTTCCTCTCATATTAATAACAAAAGATTAAAAGCTGTAGCCTTAAGCTATTTATTAAAAATACACTAACTTTTATCATCACTACCTACTGCAAGAATCTTGAACAAACTATGATATACTTGCTGTATTCCATTCACCAAGAGCATGATTACAAACTACGATATACTTGATGAATTCTATTCACCAAGTGCATGATTACAAACTATGATATACCTGCTGTATTCCATTCACCAAGAGCATGATTACAAACTACGATATACCTACTGTATTCCATTCACCAAGAGCATGATTACAAACTACGATATACCTGCTGTATTCCATTCACCAAGAGCATGATTACAAACTACGATATACCTGCTGTATTCCATTCACCAAGAGAATGATTACAAACTACGACATACTCACTGTATTCCATTCACCAAGAGCATGATTACAAACTACGACATTCTCACTGTATTCCATTCACCAAGAGCATGATTACACATACTTTGTTATTGGGCTTCAAAGTTACATGTTCTTTCATATACGTTATAACCAATATAACTAGAAAGGAGTCTAGGAAATTTAAATGAACATACTACATTAGATGTTTTAATTGGTAATATTATATACTTAAAGATTTCTGGTATATAGCAATACTAGTATATTAATTGTTGAAAATCAATTTTACTGAAAAATTAATCACATACTGACTAACTGTAAAGAATTTAACTCTCAAATGAAAATTACAACTTTTTTTTCAGATTTAACATAAATATTTATAAATGAAAACATTTATTGTAGTATGCAAAACTATGTACATTATATCAACCTCCAGGCAACTCCATCAATACATAAAAGAAAATTCAAATTCGATGACTGTTAATAAATCAAGTAAGTACACACAGTACATCATAGCTCGCTCAAGGTCCTTACAAATGGGGCAATGAGGAAAGGTTGCATATAAAAATCTTTTTTAAGTAATAGATTATAGCCAAAACCTGACGAGTTTATTGGTATATCTGATCTTGTAATAATTTTGTGAATTTTGCAGTTATATATGAAACTTTTAATTTACTTAACTCTCAAAACATTTCTATTTATGATCATGTTTTCTGTAAATATGAATAATCTCCAATTCATGACTTCACAGCTTGTCTTTGTTTGTTTTTGACAAATTTGAAATTTAGATGTCTACACTACTAGTCTAGCATTACTAGTGGCAAGAAGCAATACCTTAACTTATGAATGCTAAATTACCGATAGTTAAGATGTTTAAGAATTTGTATATATTGAAATCTTTATATTACAAAGTATAGCTAAATTAAAAATACATAAATAAGGCTAGTTTTCATGATCATCAGAAGTGGCTAGTCAACGATGCTTAATGTTCTCTTGGAGAGCTGCAATATTAGCAGGACCCCCCCACACAGTTGAAAAAATTAACCTTTCTCTCTTTAGTGATTCTTCAAGTGGTAAACTTTGTGCATTAGCAACTACCATCTTTGTAGCTCTAATAACTTCAGTTGATCCAGCAGTATTCTTCAGCAACCAATTTAGAGCCTGACGCTGTGGGTCATGACCAGTGTCCAGTATGGCTGAAGCCAAGCCAGCCTGCAAGCAGTCATGTGCCGACAGCTTTTCACAAGATACTAGCAGCTGTAGAGCCTTAGCTGGCCCTACTAGGTGGACCAATCGAGTCCCACCCCTCCATCCAGGTGTTACACCCATTTTAGCTTGAACAAACTGAAGCTTTGCTTCTGAAGTCATGAGGCGAAAGTCACAAGAAAGGGTCAACTCAGCCCCACCACCCAGTGCTTTACCTTGTACTACAGCTACACTTATCATTGGTAGGTTCTGAAGTCTGGACAGGGTATCATGTACAAAGATAGACATGCGTAATCCTCCTTCAGGGTTATTAATCTTTCGTATTGTGTTGAGATCACCTCCTGAGCAGAAGAAGCTACCATTAGCACACAGGAGGACTCCTTTACCAGATTTCCATTCTTCCAGGTTACTGACTGCATCAGCTAACTGTACCATCATATGACCTGAAACAATAAAAATATTTAAACCTGACCTATTTCTTTAAAGTTCAATGTGTTTAGCAAGGTGCTGTAAGGGTATATTTGTTTTCCTTGTGAAAACACATGACTCATCAACAGTCTGAATGGTAGGACTGAAATTTGGATGTATGCTTACCAGAAAGCAAACCACAATATTGGGCTAGCAATTAATATAAAATAATTTGCAGAAACATTTATAACACCCACATTAAACACATCCCTTTGGTAACTTCAGATGATCCACAACAATGATTGAGTATAAATGAGGTAAGAACATAGACATCTGTAATATATGTGCACAGACTTATGTTGATTGGTTGTACTCTAAATCCAAAACCTGGCCACTGGGAAACGACACTGACAGTGCAGATTTGAACAGTTCAAGAATACCTGGTCAGGTGCCATTTGGCACAGAGTGGGATCCAAACAATGAACATTAATAAAAGGGAAAAAGGGCCCCTGAAAAGGAAAAATAAGAAAAAACTTACCCAGTCAAAGTCTCACTGAATTCTTATATTCTAGAATGGCTACATGCAGAAGACAATATCCCGAGAGGAAGAAAACCATGATCCAAATCAAATAGTGAGAGACAAACGTATCATGAGTAGTCCACATCCCCATTTGAAGAAGTACCTCCAAAGGACAAGGAAGATGAAACGCTAATGAAAAGGTAGGTGTCGAATTTGGTGAGAAGACACTTGGAACAAAGTACGGGAGGGAGATGATAAAGAGGAAGAAGTCAATCAAATGAAGAGCTAAACCTAATTGGGGAAGGAGAAAAAACATAAACAGAAAACAGTTGCCAAGGGAGAAAGAGGCGGGAATGGACATGACAGAATGAAAATGTGCAGGCAATATAACAGAGAAGAGCACATACAGGACATAGAAGTCTATCTAGATGAGGATAAAGGTGTGAAAAGGAAGGAAGAGAAAATGGCTAAATGGGAGACTTATCCACACAAGCCACAGAAGTGTGAGGGAGGAAAAACAATGTAGAGAAAGGAGAAAATATATAGAAGGATAAAGAGTATGTGAAACATTGATGGCAAATATAAACAAACCACCAATATCCACAGGCAAGTAGGATAGTTAGTGGTTTAGCCATATAATGATCAATCTCACAATGGATAATAGCAGAGAAATCCAACAACGGGTCTCCCCCAACTTCAGCCTATGTAAACAGTACTAAAGGTATAACACCCAAAGTGAGAACATGAACCTCAGAATTAATTGTAGAAATATGTAAGTCAAAGAAAAGTGTTTGATGTAAAATATGCAAGTGTGAAAAAAAAATTTGGAAATTAAGTTAGATTAAAAGATTTCTTTAATGTAAAAAAGATAAACAATAATAATGAAGAAATCCCACTTCGGCAATAAAACTATTAAAATCACAATTCATATGAAGAGCACCAAAAGAAAAAACATCTGAACACGAGTACTGCCAAACGAGTAGTGATAGTTTGATAGAATTGAATAGAGGGAGCTACATGCATCATGAGAGTATGTTGCACTCTTATTGTTGGAGGGATGATGTATGATGATTTACATGAGAGATGCATTGGAATGAGTCAATTCTAATGGAGGTGAGATAGAAGGCTTGTGGAATGCGTAAAACGTTTTTGCATATAAAGGGCAGCACTGAACGAGAATAGCTATTTAAGGGGAGGTAATGTACTGTATTGGAAATGCAGCATTACAATTTGCTTTCCTTACCTAACTGCAGTACAGTGTAATAATAAATTCAAACATTAAGTAAAAATAAATGTCCCTTATATATACTAAGTAAAATCTGTGATTCAGATAACACAAAATTACAAGTATGAAACACACATACTGAAAAAAATTTACAAATTATGTCACGGTAGGTTGCAGCCACTGCAGTGTATCTTGCATGCTATAACAAGAAAAAAAGAAACTTACATTTAATTTTATTCCTGATTAATCAAGTAAATGCACTATTACATGACCCAGGATAACCTCAGGCATGAGCCCTTTTGTAGCTGTGGAACATGGACATCTGCCTAACTGCTATTGATAAGAAGATAAACTTGCATTTTGGTATTAGGAGATATAAATATACCTGAGAGAGCATTTCTTCGATCTGGATTATTTAATGTTATTGTTGCTACTCCAGTGGATTCGTCTTTAGTGAGATCAACCTGCCCACCAGTGTAGCCTGCCATTTCTTTCCGAATGTCCTCCAACAGCACTGCTCCTTCATGACAACACCTCCAGGTCTGTCCTGAGTAACAAAAGCCTTGGGGGAAAAAGAACTACATATCAAGCATTTATTGAAAAAACATTAAGCAACATTACACCAAATATTGGTCTGTTTCCTTCCCTACATATGCAGGGTTTATAATCATCCAAGTATATATGCACTATATAAAAATAACTTTGAAATGACAAAGAATTTTTTAAAAGCTCTGAAACAAAAACTACTAATACAAATCAAAATTGTCTTAATATTTTAAATAATATTAATTTTTAGGCTTTAAAAATGTGATTCTACAAACTAACAAAAATTGTCCAATGTTAGCAGTCAAGAACAAATCTATTTCCAAATTCAAAATCCATCAAAAAGCTTTTGAAAACGATTTTTTAATTAAAAGTAAATAAATTGTCATTTCCCAGAATCAGGTGAAAAATCACTTAACAAATAACTTTGACATTTCCCTTCACACTTACATTTACAGATTTTGCTATCTAGTGTCAGACTAATGAACTATATAAAGAGCCATGCACCATTTTTTAACACAACATCAGAGGCATATATTCTATCAATAGTGCAGATAATCTTGTAAACTTTAATAAGATCACCACTTACTCATCTTTTCTCAAAATTAAAATGAGTTAAGGGGCCTAATTACTGATTTGTATAATGTGCTAATTATCTCCTTTTGCTTCCTTAACAATACGTCTATAAATACATCCTAAAATTCTGTTAGCTTTAACACTACAAACAGAAAATTGTCTTAATGGTTTGAGTGACTTATCCACCAGTATTGCCAAGATGTTTTACTTCAGTTATACTATTATGTGGGTTTTCATCTATATTAAGAAAACCAAATAACACTGAAAACAAGAGATCATTTTGTCCAGGTACTCTATCCATCTTTTTCTTTATTTACTATCAGTGGATTAATATCTATATATTTTCAGGTAGATTATAGTATTTCCCATAATATGCTCAAGGCCAAGAATATCTCCAATATTATCTTGTAAAAATGGAAAAGAACATTTAAAATGCTCAATAAAAACCTTGCCATCATCATCCTTTAAGTTTGATCTTCCCACTAATTCTTTCCTTTTTCAGGAAAATACATATTTTGAACTAAATGCAATTATTTAAAGAAAAATTCAAAATTTACCCTACATCAGCTATTAACTCATTAGCTCCATTCACTAATGTTAACTCTTGTTTCATGACCTTGAAATTGGCTTTCTGAAAATTTGAAACTAAACTTTTTTTTTTTAATTTTAGTATGTAGGAAAACATCAAATCTTATCATGCAATGATCACTTTTCCCCATATATTCCTTCACACTAGCCTGTGTAATCAAACCTCCATTAGTGTTTAACAATAAGTATAAAATGGTAACCCCTCTGATTGGAACATTTCTTAGTTATAGAAAACCATTCTGAATCACTTTAAGAAACCTCTCTCTCTCTCTCAATACTTGATTCATTAGAATCCCAATTCAGGTCTCTCATGATTATTATATCAGTACCATTTTTAGCAACAAGTACTAACAACCCTGATTCCATTAGTAATGATAATTTTTCCCAATAATCATCTGTTTTATCATATGGCTTATAACAACTGCCACTTAAAAACTTTCTATCTTAAAATCCCTAATTGTAACCCATACAAATTCAATCTCTTGACTACCACTTTTACATCTTTAGTCCCAATATGTTGCAGGTCATCCCTGTTACATGGAGAGGCATTCCATTTCCTCTTTTAAAAATCTATCACTGGTAAATAATGTATAATCTGTAATTTTGTAATAATTCAAATTATCATAGTTCTCCAAATCTAACAAAGTTTAAACAATTTTCATTATCTCATAGTCTTAAATAAACGCAGTAATATCCTTTATGAGCGGGGCAATAAAAAACTATTACATTTCCAAACACCCCAAGTATTAAATCCCAAATCCATACCAGGAGAGTAAATCTGTCTTTTGGTTGGTTCAACAAAATAGTTTCCTTTTACTTGCCACATCGGTATAAAACTTTCAAGTCTTAGTTAAAAACAAAAAAATACTAAAAAGCATTGAAGCTTGTCACATATCATCTGCTAGTGGGAAAGTGTATGTAATCTAATATCAAAATTAGAATTTCACCATGTACATGGCTTTGTTTCCAGTTCAAGGAAACTACCCTGTCATCAACCAAAACACTGATTTACTAGCACGGTAGGTAAAATGTTCTTTAAGCTATGATGTATAACCATCACATTATGTATTAATCAACCTTATTACTGGAACACACATCTTAAAGCTTTGGTTGATTATCTTATGTAGGTGATGACCTAAATTTACATTACAAATATGTTTTTAACATAATCTAATTCATACTATAACAGTTGCTTATGCATTTTGATAACATAAATATTGTCTCAACTGCTACCGTCTTTGTCGTATCCCAGCTGAACTGAGGAATTGTGGTATTAGGCAAAAGGATTTGTCAGCAGAGGATATAGAAGATAAAATATGATTAGAATATTGTTATAATTTTTTTCTTTCCTTTCACTCATAGCTTCTTAGAACATAACACTTTGATATTTATTACATTTATTTATTAATAATTAATATTACCTGGAACAAACCCAGTCCTGATTCCTCCAAAAACCGATTTTCTGACTAAGTGCCATAAAACCATTTTTACTGTATTTAAACCTGAAAAAACATTTTATATTTGTTAAACAATAAACTTGTTATGGAAATTTTGCATATAAACAAATCAATTAAGTAAGATTTGTTACATATAATGTAACTGTATCAACAGGCTTTATATTAAAAATTCAATGATGTAATCTAAACCACAGGAGTTGATTTGTAAAAACCAACATATGAAAAGTTAGAAAAAATATATATTGAGTTGTTGAAGAGGTTCAGAAAACAGCTACCTGGAAGATTACAGAATTGGAGGGTTATCATATAGGGATAGATCAGAACAGGGGTTAAATTCTGCCAGTACTCACTAGTACTGAGTACTATAACTTATTTTTAAAGGCAGTACTCGTACCGGGACTTACTTGAGCTGCTTTGTCATTTCTTATGTTTATACATAGATTTTTTTTAAAAACAAGTCCACTTTATCCAGCTGAGTACCTCCACTTTTTTTGAAAATTTCACACCTGGATCAGAAAGTCTTGACATCTTTTCACTAAAGATGAAAATGCTTCTGTGGAATAGGATTAAAAATTAAAAATTTTGAAATTGTTAGGGCCTTGAATCCATAGGTTCAGATAACATTTTCCTAAAGACTTCAAGTAATAAGAATAAAGAGCAGAAGTTTATAATATGGTAAATTCATGTACAACTCCAGTTAAGGCAGCATTACTTTTCTTATAATGTGGTCATTTCATCTATCCTGACTACCACATTTTATACTAACACCCTACTCCAAACTACATACAAAAACCCCTTTTCTTATATTCAACCCTAATCTCTTACTTTCCTTCAAAGTTGTAGCTTCTAACACACATCAGACAAAACTGTTCCACTTGGGGTTGGACATGTCTATGTTTCTATATTTTACACTGTCCTATATTGGTACTGCCTGCATTTTTTACATATTTTTTATGAAAACATTCTCTGGATTTATAGATTTAAAACCTCAATCTTGCTTCCCCAAGCCCCTCACCTCTTCAGTGAAAACATGTTACAGGATTTTACCTTATCCTCTTATAATAGGCCCTCCACACCTGGAATTATCCAGTTAGCTCTTTTCTGACCCTGTCCAACAACTAAATGTATTTCATTAAATAAGAAGATCAAACTGAAGACAACATTTGAAATTAGGTTTAACCACCACCTTATAGAGTGAAATGATGACTTTCTTTGACTTGTAGTTGTATTCAATATTTCTATGAACATGAAATAAAATCCTGTTTGTCTTTTTCTTTGAGAGAGCTACATACGAAGATTTTTTTTCCTCATTAACTTATCTTACTTTTCTTTTCTTCTATAGCCTATAGGAATGATTAATGCTGTTAGTGTTATAACCAATATGCATAACACTGATTTTATGATGATTAAAAGGCATCTGTCAGGTGTTAACCCAGCTCACCATATACTCCAAATCTCTAAAAAAATTACAGCACCTTTTGTAAATTTTGAAATGACAATTTAATTTAATATCTCAGAAACATTTAGTGATTTACCAACATACTGGTTATTGAAAATGAGAAAGAACCTAGAACTTCTACCCTAATAGTAATACTAGTATTAGTAATTGTTGTAGTCCTAAGTAATAGTAATAACTTGCTAATAACAGCTTACTAAAACTAAAAAACCAAGTGCAACAAATCCATCGCGCCCATATCTAAATTAAACGAACAGTGGAAATTTTATTATCCAAATATTGCGATACACTGCAAGCACTAGCATTAAAAGTAATTTAAATATGGCGACGAACTCAAACGAAATGTTACCGAATGATACTGCTACTCACACTGTTAGCTCGGTTGCGCGTAAGCATCGATTTAGTGTTTATATTTTGGGCTTTTTGTTTCACATAAACCAACGTTGGCAGGACTCATATCCAACTTACCCTAAACCAGAGCGAGGCGCACATACACAGCGTGGTCACAAGTAAATAGACACCACCTTTTCAGAAAAAAATGAAAATTTTCAGTCATAT